CTCCATTTTCTACCTTCTCCGCCCTCCTCCTCCTCCACCATCTTCTTCCGCACGCTCTCCCGCCTCGCCGCTCCTCCACCACCTTCTCCGCTTCTCCTCGACCTCCCTCCCTTTATCAACTGTTCAACAATTGAATAATAAACAACTACGCAAGTGAGTAATTGCCGGGGGTAAACTGTCCGAAGGGTAATATCCGGGGGTAAATGCCGGCGGGGCGTAATTGTCCGGGGGGTAAATGTCCGGAGAGTAAATTGTCCAGAGGGAAGGGGGGGTAAATTCCGGGGGTGAATTGTCCCGGGGGGTAAAAGTTCGGCGGTGGTAAATGTCCGGGGGTAATTGTCCGGGGGTAAAAGTGTCCGGGGGTGATTGTCCGGGGGTGAAATGGATGGGGGTAATTGTCCGTTGGGTAATTGTCCGGGGGTAATTGTCCTAGAACCATATCTATATTATAAGAGAGGAGAGGCAGATTTTCTGACGCGGTCATCTTCGCCGCGGTGAGCATCAAGCCCACGCCGCCGATCTCAGTGTATAGCCCGTGTGTCGGACACCAACATAGGCTTATCCATATTTGTTAAATCCAACCATGTTTGTCGATATAATGACGATAAATAGGCCGTAATACGGGCGATAATTTTAGCAGTGGGGTGATGTCAGAAAAGTAGAACAGCCGAATTTCCACGAATGTAGCCATCTAGCGGACAAAGGCTAAAACTTTGTTAATACCAGGTTAAACTATGCCAAATTTATACATTTTTCTATTATGCACTCAGTGGTCAGTTGAATCTAAAAAGCGGCACAACACACACTGTTAGTGGTTCATTTTCGTTAATTTGTATTTTTAAAATTGTAATTTGTCTATGTATACATTCGGATATATGTATAACATGGTATAAAGAATTAAGTTTGTTAAAACAGGTGCTCTTCATCTTTTTGATAATGTTATCTATGGTGACTTCACTGGTGCAGAACTCTGCCAAATTGACCAACTAATTTGGTTAAATGAGGTGATATCCATACGTTTGGAGAAATATTTACGTTTTAAAATCTGCTCTAGTGCAGCAGATATGTGAAAAAATTGTGGGTTTGATGATAAAAACATATAATTTGGCTCACATTTATTACATATCACTAGGAATATTTTTGAATATTTTGGACATTGCATATTCCTCCTGGGGGCCAAAATGGCGGCCATTTTACAAAATGCCCGTGATCGGGTATTACATAACACATAATCTGTAGAAGTTGTGCAACGTTTTGAACTGGAGATGCATGTATATGATGCAATATCACTTAAAATATAATCTGGGATGCCAATTCAAGGTCATACACCTTACATAACCGATTCATTTGGCCTATCAGGCAACAATTACGCAACATTTTTTTTTTAATGAGTTTTGTCTGTATTTTGCAATCTGAAAATGATCAGTTTATAACATTAAACTGTACTGCCACTGTGGAAGTGCGTTTACCCTAATATATAGTCATACATTTATATTTTACGCTTAGCATTGTTCAGTGGGTACATGTCTACATCATATTGGAAATATAACAATTCGCCATGCGGAGAAAGCCATCCAATGAAACTGCAAAGATCTACATCCCCGAAGCACACGTCCGCGGCAGTGGCGTAGTAACGTGGCCTGGAGTACAGCCTCAAACACATTGCATTGTCCTCTGCATCCCTTCTTGCAGCCGCATGCTGAGAGTTGCCGCATACTTGGCGTTGCCTCCGGAGGTTGTCCAGGCAGACGTTCCAGCCAGTATCACATCTTCAACCCACCGCCATTCGCTAGGGGATGGATTTCAGCTGCAGAACGGCATCACTGGCCCCAACAATAGCCAGCTGGTAGGCAGTTCTCCTGATGTGCTGTCTGAGGCTTCTCGAGTTGGCGGGAGAGCATCCCATTGCTCGACGCTTTCTGTGAAGAGCTGCTTTACGTGCATCGTTGACAGTGCTCGTGGCATGCTAGTGCGATCATACAGGAGAACGACGACACGTTGCCAAGGTCTCGCCAGGCTGTCAACCTACGATTGAGGGTTT